AAAGGTCTTTATCTACACCTGTCCACAGGTGTTCTGGTCCACCTGTCCACAGGTGTTCTGGTCCACCTGTCCACAGGTGTTCTGGTCCACCTGTCCACAGGTGTTCTGGTCCACCTGTCCACAGGTCTTTATCTACACCTGTCCACTGGTGTTCTGGTCCACTCCTCCTGAACAAACTGCTCCAGGTGTCTGAGGTCTGAAAGGTTCCTTTCACAGACGTCCTGCAGGACGTTGAYCATAAGGTCACTTCAGAACTGTCCAGTATTTGGTTCTGGTCCATTCTTGGTGGTTTTAGCTGTGTTTGGGGTCATGGTCCAGGTCCTGGTCCAGGTCCAGGTCCTGGTTGGACGCTGTTGTTCAGCTGCAGCTGATTTGCATGAGTAACAGTACATTTGGACACAGGCTTCAGTGTTTGTTGCTGTTTAAACTCGGGGCAGTGCTTCCTGCTGCTCACATGCTTCCTCTGAGCTCTGCAGCAGAAATCACTCGACCTTCTGGCAACGAGACAATTTGAAACAAAACATTWAGCTGATTTTTGTGTTTTAATGGGGAAAATGAAGGTTAAATTCTTGAGTTTTGCAGCTGCTCGGTGCTGTTTATCATTAATTTCTCAGATGTTCTGAACCCGCCAGGCATCAGTAGATGTTTGTATCTTTGTGGGTTTGTCGTGAACAGCCAACACAACTCTGTTTAGAACACCAGGAAGTGGCTGCATCCCATATCGCAGCGGCGACTCTGCTGAGCACATCCTGTCTGCGGAGAGGCCCAAACAATGAGTCCAGCTGATGTTTCCAGAACGTTAGTCTGCGTTCAGGTTCTGAGTCAGCGGATCTTTTAGAAGATCTGATGCTCAGGCAGCTTCCTGACCCTGTTTTCATCCCCGCAGGCACAGAACAAGCAGACCGGCATCTTGGCCGCGGCCAAGGTCATCGACACGAAGACTGAGGAGGAGCTGGAGGACTACATGGTGGAGATAGACATCCTGGCCTCCTGCGACCACAAGAACATCGTCAAGCTGCTCGACGCCTTCTATTACGAGAGCAAGCTGTGGGTGAGCGAGAACAGTCACTCGGACACTGTCTGCAGAACTCAAACTGCACGCCTCAGAACCGACGTCCGGCCTGCGTCTCTGAGCTGCCATACCAGAACCTTTTTATAAAACCGTTTTATTGCTGCTGTTCTGAAACTCTGTCCAAAGTCCAGCTGAGCAGCTTTCAGTTAATCATCAGACCGGGTTCTAATCCCTCCGCTCCGACCTGAAGGCCTTCAGGTTTTACTGTGGTTTCACTCTGACTGTAACACAGATTRTTCATCCACACCATGGGTTCAGACACAGATTATAATCCCACATCTTGTCAGGAGGAACCAGGTCAGAACTGAGGAGGAAATCTGAGTAAAAAAAGATTCATTTAGACCCCGACCTCTTGGTTTCTGGGGTTTTAGGACTTAAAGCTGATCTGGTCTCAGTTYAAAAACAGAAAGCTGAATGGTTCCTGGTCCTGATCCGGCTCGGTCCMGTCCTGGTCCTAGGGTTCTGCACAGGTTCCTTGTTGTTTAACAACTAAAAAAAAAACAGCGTGGATCATGACTCAGCATTTCCAGCAGCTGATGTTTGTTTATTYGAGCTAATTATAATTTGAGTTATGATGATGTCATCGCAGGTGACCTCACCTGCAGCCACTTCCTGTCTCTTTGTGCCGCACAGGAAGCCGCAGCCCAGACCTGCGGTACTGTTCTGAACCTGTCTGTTGAACAACACGCCCACTCAAAAACACTAGAACCATGAGTCCGGTGCACAGCCAGAACCACACCAGGACTCCGGTCTTTGTAAGTCTTCCTTCAGGGCTTTTTGTTGTTGGAAGTGGAGCGGTTCTGGGAGGTTCTGAGCRGGTCCACTGAGCCCAGGAATGTCTCTCAGGTTGCGTTTTTATTCATCTTTCTTCTTTTAAACCTGCTGCTGACCACAGACCACGAGAGCTCCTCAGCTGTTCTGTTGCAGCCGAAGTTCGGCTCAGGGGTTTCCTCAACATGAAGGTCCACCAGCGTCGGTTGTTAAAGAGACTCCAGATGCTTTTCTGTGATAATCCCTCAGCTCCAGGTTCTGCAGCCTCAGGTTCTCTAATCCTGTTTACAGAACAAGCAGCTGTGAGGAACGCTTCCCTCAAACAGGTCAATCTTCTTACATCAGCAGCCCGACTGAAGGCTTCACAAGTTTTT